TATGGCTCAAACAATGGCCATATATATATGTATACCAATCTGTAAATAATGATGTACATGTAGCCCAATCAATATTTTTTTCATGTTTTGAATGTTTTCAGAGTTTTCATTGAAAAAATTCAAAATGTAAAAGATTCTATAGAGTTTTATGTTGTAAGTTTAACTTTATTTTTGAAAATGCATTGTTGAAATTATCAGACCAAACAAGTTTGGATGTTTTGAGAAATTAAAAATTGAAATTAACTAGAAAATAGCAAGTGTAAAAATTTTCCTTACTTTAACCACTACATATTATACAAAAAATCACTATTACAAAACATATTCTCAATAGAGCTCAAACAAACCCAAAAATTTGAGAAAGTTTTATAAATCATGTCATATTTTGCGAATTTTTTAAAAATTCATTTGATATTAATTGAATCACATAAGATAACTAATGTGACCTAAATTTGTGGATGTACAAGAACAAAGTGATATATATAGAAAAAATTTATCTCACCATATTCCACCATAAAATTTAGCAAGACAATTATTCTATTCCAATATTCATCCATGTTATCATCAATGACAAATGACAATTGAAGAAATGGAATTGTAATTCCATTGGTTAAAATTTTCTTTGACTATTTTCTCATCACAATAAACGATATGCATCAAATCGCCAGAGGTCGAATCAACAATTTGCATCAAACGTTTGAAATTATGTCATGCAATGTCACTTTCTATGTGATTTCACTTTCCTCGTGACAAACATGTATAAAGTTGTTCTAGTATGCCGTATGCCTCTTCCTAAAATTGCATCAAATGTATAAAAACAATGACAATAAGGCACCGTACCAAGGTTATATAAGTGTTATCACTGTTATATTTTTTCGTCAGTTATATATAATATTATGTGTTGTGACATTCTAATTTTTGTGAGTTCTTTTCACCTCGAAAGTTGTGCGAATATTTGGAGAATGGGTGTTTGAGACTTCCTTTACTCAGAAATATGAGATAAATAAAGGTCTTGTTCCATATTTTGGAATCAGTAGAAGAATATGGATGAAATTCTTAAAGATAAGGATATAATTTCTTTTACTAAATTAGAGAAAATGTGATAAAGGCCTAAGATTTCAATTAAAAGTCACCTTCAGTAATCATCCACGAAATTTCAGTTAGTGAACGGGCCACTGTATTCCTGTCCCCAACATCAAATATGAAACTGATATGTTCTATTATCATATTATGTAGAGATAATTATAGCAAAAGCCCCAAACTTTGAAACATTAGCAGAATTTTTTAAAATCTTTCATTTGTTGTAACTGTCATTCCTAACCTTTCCAAACATTACATGTGAGGCCCTTATGGATGATTTCCATCAAAAATTCCGTCAATTGATCATCAAAATAACATTTGACCACCTTTTAATCAATTTTAAAAGGGCAAAATGGTAAGTTTCTATTTACCACATTAAACAATTAAAAAATTTAAATAAAAAAATTGATTAAAAGGTGATCAAAGTTTTTTTGCCGGTCAACTGACGAAATTTTTGAGGAAAATCATCCAAAAGGGCCTCACATGCAACGTTTGGAAATGTTAGGGGTAACAGCTACAACAAATAAAAGATTTGAGGAAAGTCTACTAATATTTCAAAAGTTTAGAGCTTCTGCTGCAATTATTCCTATTATGTATTCATGTGACTTTTGAATTCCTTGCTTTTGTTGTTGTTTTTTGTTTTTTGGTTGGTAGGTTGGTTGGTTGGTTGGGTGCGGGGGGGGGGGGGGGGGGGGGTTTTTTTTTTTTTTTTGGGGGGTGGGGTGGTTGGGGGGGGGGGGGGGGGGGGGGGTAGGGTGATTGTTCCATCAAGCTTTAGACATCGAACTTCGAATTTGAATGAAACTTTTGTCCTTCTAGTTTCTTTTTGGAAAGTTTATTGTGCTAAGAATCACAGAAGTATGTCTTCAAACTTTTAGCGATGACAAATAATTTTCTCACTCTTTTTTTGTACGATCGAACTTATTTGAATTTCAAACCATGTCAGTAATTTCTCCGCCTTAGAAATTTTATTGCCTACTGTATACAAATTATTCTCAATTAAGTATCTATTTCTGTTCATAAACATGAAGATGTTAAAGATAGCAAATGTTTCTGTTGTTATACATATTCGGGTTTTAAATAGTTTGAACTTATCTTCTATTATTTAAACATTCTTGTGCATACAAATTGTTGTGAACTAGAAACTCTAATTTTATATCACCAATAACAACAAAAATCCAGTAACAGAAAAAGATAAGAAAGAAAACGAAAGATTTATAAAGATTCGCCTTACCATAGTGACGAAGTTGAAATAGAATAAACTAATAAAGATCAATCATCAAAATGAAACCTTGTCGAAAGTAAGTCATCAATAGTGTTTTTTAATCTTTCCCTCTATATTTGATGTTAAATATTTTAAGTTTAAACTTTATAATCAATGTCGATTTACCAGCTGTTTGGTAATTTGTACCTAAATTACTGTTTGCTACGAAGTAAAATAGTTTCAATCAAATTTGTATTAACCTTGAATATGGTTTTTCATATGCAATTTTCAGTATTTAGTAAATGTGAAAGTAACATTTTCCTATGTAAAATATTCCAAGGAATCTAAGGTCACCCCCAATACAAAAATTGCAATAATTTTTAGGGCTGGACATTGTTCGGTTCGATTCGATTTTTAAAACCGAACCGAATCCGAAATTTTCGAGTATTTAGTAAGTGGAACCGTCAGGTCCAAATTTAATTATGAAACCATTCGGATTGGGTTCGATTCGATTCCCAGGTTCCGTATTATAATTAAATTTTTTAATATTTAGAAAACTACATTAATTCAACTAATGAAATGTTCAATCTTTAGCTCTTACAAAATAACGTCAATATTATGTGTCTTTTACGTCTCTCTTTGTTGAATTTTTTTATAGATTTGAATGTAAAAACTACGGGAAAAAGAAAAAATCGAGATTACAATAATTAAGAGAGGCGTTGTTGAACTTCATTTCGATTTCTCTAGAACGGTAAAAATGACACTAGGGTAAAATAATAGATTTGGATAAAATTTAGGTTCAATTTGATTAAATTGACTTTGTACTGAAAATTAAAAATATAAAATCATATTTTTGAATTTGACCTAAATTAACTAATGAGCAAATTTATTTAGAAAAAAATAAAATAATTTAACTTATTTAAAATAAATCAATTAAAAAATTAGGGAGATTAGATTTTTATTCGGTTCTTGATCTGAAACCGAACCAAACTCCATCGATTTTTTATTCAGATACTCGTTCAGGTATTTAATTTAAGAAAAATCGCTGAGTTCGATTCAGTCAATTTGGGAATTTTGTCCAACCCTAATAATTTCTATGAACTATATCAGTAATTCTTTATAGTTTTTTTTAACAGGCGCAACTACTGTGAAACAAAGCGAACCTGAGTCATAAAATTAGAAGGAAAAATAAATCCTTGATGAATTTACATAGCTCAAAAATAATGTATTTGTGTCCATGAAATGAAGAGAAAAAAATGCATCAATATGTGAATGCATTGTAAGTATTATGCCCTAGGTCCAATCGACTTTGGACATAAATACTTTTATATATAATTAATGCAATTAAATGGCAGATCTATTATTTAATTAATAGACAATTAAATAAATAATAGAGTCCGTAGATTCAAATATTGTAATTTGTTAATCACAAAGAGTTGTGATTGTGAGATACAAATTACATCTGATTGAATCTTAAATCATCCGTGGTCGTAAGTAATAACGAGATACGGATATCGTTATTACGGATAGACCATCACGTGTGGCATTTCTTACTTGTGAAGTAAGTAGCTGATCTCACAAGCTAAAGTGTGGTGACACTTAAATGAACACGTGGATGTTTTTGTTATAGAACAAAACATTGGAGACCCGTCGAGAGATTCCACATGGATAACTATCTGAGTGTCAGTGGTTAATCTCTAACGTTCGGTAGTGAAATTGGTCCTTTTACTTGAGGTCGTCATGGTACCTTATATGAGGATAGTCATACTTTGGCGGTGTTGGATGTTGCTCTGAAAAGGGCCGCTAATACGACATCGTTCGGGTACGTCAAGAATCGTATGAAGGTTGTGATTGATCAATAAAGGATTCGTCACTCTTAGATAGTAGGAGATTATGATCTGCGTTTCATTCAATTAAGTCAATGATGAAATCCTTGGCCAAGGTGTACTCATAAGTCGAAAAGGAGTTTTCGATTTATATTGACTTAATAGTGGAGTGAAAGATATGATCGATGATCGAGATTGACACAACTCCATATCTCGTAATTGATCGGATCATATTGACGAAGGGATTATAGTTTCACGGTAAACGAACGAATTTGGTTTTGTCATACCACGTGACATTTCCCGTCACATGTATTGCCCTGACACATTGCTAGATGTCAATCAGGGACGGCGAATGTGAATTGACGATAAATTAAAAGGGTGTTTTAATTTATCAATTTTGATTAGATCAAAATAATATTTCACGTCGTTAGGCATCGTGGTCGGGAACCTAATGGGTTACACACAAAAGAGAATTGGAAGATTGCAAATTGCCAATTGGTTAATTTAACAATCGTTGGATAAATTAATTAATTGGATTTGTTATTTATATTTTCGAATTAATTAATTGGATTAATTAATTCACGGACCGGGTTTAATTAATTGGATTAATTAATTATTGGACCGGACCGGGCCGAGCCTATTTGGGTTTATATAAATACATAACTAGGGTTTGAGGTCCATTAAGGTTTTCATTATTCTTGCTAGCACAAGAGAAAACCCTAGAGGCTGCAATCATGTTCTCTGTGTGGATCACCGTTGGAGGCTGAACAATTGGACAGCTGTGGTGGCGAATCAAAGTTGTGGAACGAAAAGAAAAGCAAAAGGATTGCAGATCTGGAAAAGGTACAATCTTATCACAATTCCTAACCAAACACAATGAGATCTATTGGATGGGAATCGAAATAATTTTTAAATTCCGCTGTGCATGTATAAGTAGATTCCCAACATGCATGACATCTCTTACTGTATAACTCAACTTACAAACATGTCTCTAGTAAGACGAAGGCAGTAAGACATTACCAGGTCATCAAGGTCGTCCCATTTTCTCCAAAAATCATAAGGGTTACTTAAATACCGTTAATTTTAAGCGCAAATGCTGTTTCCTAGAGCACGGATATACTTCTTTTGTCGGAAACTACTCTTTCAGACATTCTTCCTGCAGCCGGTCTGTTCTTGTTGACAATAGTTTTAACATCGGAGTTTTTTGGTGCAGTACGCTGCATTATTCGGACAGGAATTCCTCCCAAATTGAAGTCTTCCTTCAGAGACTTTGTTAAGAACCTCAAGTCTGTATCTGATAGTTGCATCTTCGCACTCACAAATGCAACGAAAGTAGGCGGCCGGGCTTTCACCTGAGTAAAATACTTTATCTTGGGTTGAGCAGCCTGATCTTTCCAAGAATGTCTGCTCATAACCTGGACATCACGAAATTCTCACAATTTAAGAACCAATATATATAGCTTGCAGGGCACAAATAAGAATGTTAGGCTATCAGCTAACCTTGCGTAACCAGCGGTTAAGACGAGCTGTTGGCAATCTGAGACACCACTTTTCATAGGTCTCAACAACCTCACGCATCACAGCAATCCGACCCTTTCCTTCGAGTGCAGAAACAAATACCACGGGTATCCCTGAGACCTGCCAATCAATGGGAGATCAAGTTTTTCCAAGCTATTACTTATTGTTCCATCATCCAAGCAATGTTTATCCAATTATAGTATTGTTTCCACGAGACAGAAAATATGCATGCCACCCACCTCCATTGTACCTTGTTCAATGACAAACTATTTCAAATTGTTTAATCACTTCTAAAATGCAGTTCAACCCGATATTAAATTTCATACATGCATTGTTGTTTTCATCTAAGATTACACGAGGCACTCAATGATGACAGCGACAGATTTTAAAGCCACAAATAAAAGTTGTTGAACATTATGATTGTAAGATAAGATGGGCCCAAGGTGGGGGGAGGATTTCAGTTTGCACTAATATCTAGACCTTTATGGCTTTATCAAATAAGCAATTCCAATTGAAGCAGTATGCTCACAACATTTTAGAAGCTCTCAATTGTATTGGTTTCATTTCACCATACATTCCTGAAGTTATATTTCTTGCGCAAGTTTGAAATTGATACTCCCTGCACTAGATGCCTCTTAAAAGTTAATGAAATGTCCTCAAATTTGACCAACATCGGACAAGAGGACAATTATTATTTCACAAAGAATCCGCACTCGCAAATAGTGTGAGATCATTAATTTTAGAAACTATTAACAGCTGCTGCTAAGACTCACTTTTCTGGCATCATCTACCATTTTGATCTTCCTATCCAATGTAATTTAGGCACAAGGAGAAAATTTCAGTTACAGAATTCAAAAGCGTGCCGCACCCATGCACCGACATGCATATTCTGTGTTGTGATGCTCGGACTCTTCATTTCGTTCGGAGTATCCATGTCGACACGACACGACACGGGTACCAGTACGGAATACGGGTCCGATTCTTCCAATTTCAATAGGACTCGGCAAGAAATCTTAAGAAAAATTGAAGATTTACCTTATTAACTGGAAATGGAAGATGTGTGTAAAGAAATAGCAGGTTAGCGCCAGCGATTTTTGGTCCAAAATAAATCTGCTGGCTATCTTCCGATGGAACCCAAAAATCGTGAAGGAGAAGAAGAGTGGAAGACAGAGACACAAGAATGAAAGAAGAGATTTGGGTTTAATTGGAGTTGGGCCATTTTTATTGGGGCTACTAATATGGAGGTGGGTTGGGTTAATAATATGGATGTAGATGGATTTAATTAGAGTTCGGGCCATTTTATTGGGCTAATAATATTGATATTGGATATGGATGGATTTAATTGGAGGTTGGGCAATGGATGTGAATGGGTTAATAATGTAATTATTTTTACACCAAACATATTCTAGTTTAATAAAATATTCAAACAATAAAATTAATCATTTAAAAAAAAATTCAATTCATCATTTTTAATTCAAAAAATACGACAATATAAAAAAAATCTAAAAAACAAAATTGAAGTTTGAAAAACGTACCCATGTACCCGTATCCTAAATTTGGACTCTTTTTAACCATGTTCCCGTATCCCACATTTTAGAAATAAAAGATCCAAGGCTTTGATACGTACCCGTACCCGAGTCCGAGCATCTAAGATTCCGTGTATTTGAAAGATGCATCCTCAGAATTAGGGATGGCAATTACAAAATAAATTCAAAATTTGCTTAAAAATACTTTAGCCCAACTTTTCTAAGCCCAGACCCATTAGCCCAATTCCAAATAAGAAAAATAATCGGGGCAGTAAACAGAGAGGAGGACCGCCCTGCCCCTCTTTAAGAGGGGATCGGGGCAGGGACGGGACTGGGTGGGCAGCCCCCGAACCACCCTATTGCCATTCCTACTCCAATTATAATATAATTATACAAACAAAAGAAATAAAACCTCAGGTCCTCAGCCATCATTCCTAATGAAGGCAAAAGAAGAATCTAATGTGCAAAGGTAATACCGGCTCAGATGGAAGCTTGCAACTTTGGAAGGTAGATGTTTAATCATTTTCTCTACTCTATATTGACAAACCTGGGGTATAACGGTCTGAATTTCTTCAGGGACAGCTTCAATGACTCTCTCATATATCTTTGAATTCTGTTTCCCTTTTAGAAGATCCATCTTGTTCACAACCACCACCAAACCTCGTCCTTCTTCCACTGCTCGCCGCGCTATGACTACTTCAGCGTGTTTCATGCTCCGTCTAGCTCTTGCAATCTAATCAGCACAAACAAGAGAAAAATAGCATGTGACAGTGTCAGTAGAAAGCTGATAGCAATAAATCATAGAAATTACCAAAACTACAGGTACGTCTAGCAAGATGTTTACAAATAGGGGTAAATGGGTAATGGAGAAGTTGGTAGTACTCGAGGGTCTTACGAAATCTGTGGATAAAAAGTGGTTTGACCAAAAGTGTTTTTGACCAAGGCGTCTATAAACACCTAAAAACTATGAGCCAAACATTGGCTAATGTTCTAATTTCCATTCATATTAAAGAAAATTATGAGAATTACACCATTCAGGATATACCGAAAAGTAACAGGTTATGGTCCACAAACCATTAGAGCATAGCCTCAGGGCCCAGGAATCTACAAGGCTCTAAAATTTTCTTGGAAGCCAGTTGAATTCAAGTAGAACCTTCTATGTTTTTATAATGAATTTTTTTTATAAGTGGAGACCCTGTTTATTTCAAAGATAACCTTATACATTTCTGCAATGACTTATTTTTTTTCACAAGCGAAGGCCCAAATTTAGCTATAGATAAGCAGCAGCAGTGTGCATCCAAATCCAATTACTCATCATGTAAATTGGTAATATATATTTATACAGTGAAGTAAGACCTCTATCCTTCCCACAAGTATAGACTTGTGAGATAAAAAGGCTTACTTTTTATTCAAAATAAGAAATTTGTTCAGTCTGTTTCTTTTCTCTGGCTCAATTTAGGAATGCTTCAAAATCGCCCAACTTTTTGAGTAAATATTAAGAGTGCCACGAGAACAGACAACTGGAAGAGACACGAAAAGAGATATTTAAGTTGCAATTTGGCAAATTTTGCATGTGCATTTACTTTAATTTATGCCGGTTGCTAAGCACACTTCAACTATGTCTCATCACAGGTCAAGCATATAAAGGAAAAGGATTGCTCACAATCTTAAGAGACTGAAAACATCATCTTTCAGAAAAAAAGAAAAGAAGTTTCATGATGAAGGCATGAATTATGATGTATTGCAAAATTTACAGGATATAGGAAAAGTACAAAATGGAAATAGTTACCAAACAAAGTTCTTAACAAGTCAACCTGGCCGCCTCAATATGTAGCAATAACTACCAGTAGTAAATAAGGTGAATCTGCTTAAGCATTATACCAACAAGAACCATGACTTCATATGTAAATATTGAATACTACTGTACAGCTAACAGCATTTATTAATGGCAACCATATTTCAAACTAGAGAGGATTATACATTAAGCCCCTGTTTGGTGAGGATTAAAATAAGATTTTAATCTAAGTTAAAGTCAACAATTAATTCAATCACATATTTCAAAGGGCTCCCAACTTTTCCAAACCACACATTTCATCAATTTTTATCAAAATCTACTAAAAATCTGATTTTAATCCCCACCAAACAAAGATTAAATATCCTTTTATGATGTGTCATATTCACTATTTTGCATTGAGTTGACAGGAGTTAAATTAAAGAAACAAAAACTTCAAAGCTTAACCTAGTTTTATTTGGTCAAGATCCTATTGCACAGGATAAGATGAGACTTATTTTTCATTAGACAAGTAAAAAGCTTGGAGGGATCCACTGTGGTGATAGCTTGAAAAGCCTCAACTAAGATATGAAGACATACATTTGCTAATTCATGTTTAAAAGATTTTAATAACATCATCACCTCATGGCCAGTAAGGAAAGCGTTGAACCAGGCAAATGATAGTAAACACAGAGAGAGCAAGAGTCTAGTGCCAAATGACTACCTAATGAAAATGTAAAACATTACATATGACGGACCTCTTCAGCATCCAGAACTAAAGCAACCACATGCGCCCTCATAAGATGTTTTCTTGATTGCATAATGCTCAAAGATGATGCCCCCTTGTCTTGTTTTGTCCTCCCCAACCAACCTGCAGTGTCGACCTCAACCAAATATGTTCATAACATCAAAGTTCAAATATATCAAAGTCTTGTTTTAATAGTACCCAAGAAATCTGGAATGCAGAAGTCTTTTGTTCTTGCAACAATAAGAACAAAGGCTTTTTTAATATCCTGTCATTAGGTACATTTCAGGTTTACAATATGAAAACAGATGAAACAATCGTGCAGAAGACACAAGAACAAATAGTCTGCTTCATTTTTTTTATTTTTTATTTTTTTTTGAAAGGTAAAAATAATTAATTTAATCAAGCTGCTTTGTGTTTTAGGCATGACAATTTAACATATTAAGCAGCAAATATAGAAAACAAACATTTTTCCTGTGTGATTCTCGAAAATATACCCATTGAATTGAGATGTACAAGATATGCCATAATGCCAAATGGAGAAATTCTCCAAATCTAACATAAATCAGGACAAGTGGAGGATTCAGTGGGAAGGGGGGGAGGGGGGGGGGGATCTCTTGCATTTCTGGAAAAGTCAGTTCATTTTGGTTGTAGACATGAATGTATTTTGCAATAAGCTTAGATGGACAAATCATTATAGGAATTAATATAAAATGATAAAATAGCATATTAACATCTTCAACATATAAGCATGAGAAACTTGATATTCACCAGATATATGTTTCTCCCATCGTACTGAGATTGAACTCGAATTGAATCTCTAGTCAAACCAGCTTCAGGTCCAACCAAAACACGATTTTCTTGCAAAATTGCATTTAGCAACGTCGACTTTCCAACATTGGGCCTCCCTACAATTGCCAATTGTAGTGGGAGCTTAGACTCAATGTCCTCATCCTCACGAGAGCCAATTTTGTGGATATCCTCATCTAGTGTTGGAAAAGGGCAAAGCATGAAAGGCCAAGCAACTAATTATTGATTAAAGAAGGCAAGCCACAGATTATGCACCACGAGAGATGGGCAGGTTGGATTAGAATCTTCATAACAATGTATAAACTGTAAGCTTAGACTGGTCTTTGCAAATTTAAGTGACATGTGATTCAGTAACATGAAGACGATGCACTGCATTTGGCGAGGGAAAACAAAAAAGAAAGTCTTCTCACACAAATGAATGATCTTCTTCACACGTTACAGTTTCGTCATTTCTTTCTTAAATGATCTAACTGTTGCACCAACAGCTGCAAGCTTTATAACCAGGCTTCTAGCAAGAGCAATTTGAAAGGGTTTTTATGCAGAATCACATATGCCAATGGCTATAAAGTCATCTAATTCATGAGACATTACAAAATTTATACCAGTGCAGTTCACCATGAATTCTAAAAACTCAGTCATTATTTTAAAGTCATGTTTATCCTACATTGAGACTAAACAGATTAGTCATTCCCAATCCAGTTCCTATAGCAAAATGTTACCAGAAATAAAAGAGGATGCTCTAATAAATAACAAAAGCAATTAGATTAACCATAGACAGCAAAATAGAAGAGAAATGATTTATTTGTACATTCCAGAAAGCTCTACATAATCAATTTCTTTTCTTTTTAACTGAACAACACACTTTCAAAATACTAAGATGCATCCGCACACATTCAGAAGTCAAAGGACAATGAAAATCTATAGACATATTTCTGTTTTTAATGCAGCAATAGAGAGGAGGGAATATATGCTCCTTTTCCCTTGCTTTATTGCACCGATTACTGCAGATGAAGCATAGAACACAGATTATCTCTAACAAATAAAACCACGAAATCCAGTATCAGCCATTATTTTTGAATTTGGTCCCTAAACTTTCAAATACTTACCATTAGGTCCTAAATTAAAAACTAAAGGCTAGTATCGGTGTATGTGGTGCTAAAGGAATAGTGTGCAGGCTCAGAAACCATTAAAAATATAAATGATATATACATCTAATCAGTTAAAGATTTGACGCACATAAATCTAAAACAAACAAAGTGTCAGCTCAAGATGATTGAAAACTTCAGTATATGGGTTTCTTACCTTTTAGAATGTGAAGCACGTAGTCCTCCAGCAGTGGCCTTAAAGCTTCATATAGTTCTGTCATTCCCAATCCAGTTTCAGCAGACAAAGCAATGGGATCGCCAAATCCTAATGTATAAGCTTCACCAGCAGCAGCAGCTAGAGAACCACTGATGTCATCAAGCAACTCCGCTTTATTCATCACCACAAGAGTCTTGATTCCAGAAGCATGCTTCCTCAACCATTTTCCAACGTCTAAATCCATGGGCTGTAGTCCATCTCTAGAGACGATATGATGGAAAAGAAAGAAATTAACAAGATAATTACAAATCATAAAATTAGCAACTTTAATCTGTACTGTCTCAGAGTTCATGTGTTCTCTTCATTGTACCTAAGCAGCTTTTCGGGCATTCAGTGAAACAGGATCGTGATTTTCACTCAGTATGAAATTTTAGATTTCTGTCTCTCAACAAATTCCCGTATTTTTTGAAATATGAAAATGTATTTCGATTCTTCTGTTTTATAACTTTTAAGTGTTGACATTGCATTTTCCACTCCATTAATGATCCTGCATTCTCACGTTATATGGTTCTCAAATATTAGTTTGCCAAAAAAAAAAAAACACATCAAGTTGGGTATCAAGATGTATGGCAGCTTGCGCATTAGAATGTTTCAATTGCAATGGTAAAATCAACGTTCTAAACACTCACTAACAAGACTAACCTTGCATCTACTAGGAAGAGTGCAAATTGGGAGCTTGCCAATACAGTTTCCGTCATTGCTGCTGTTCTGCCAAGAATAGAACCTGACGAAGCCTCTGCTTCCAAGCCAGCTGAATCCAAAATACGAAACCGCAAATCTCCCAATTTAGCAACCCCATCTCGTATATCCCGCGTAACATGGTCATTAGGAGTGTTGTAAACAAGGGCCTCCCGCCTTCGTGTCAATCTGCAAATCACACAATAATCACATGTTGAAGACTAAAGAATGGAGAGAAGAATAATGCATTGTGAGGCTTAAATTCTAACTCTACAGCAGTGATGGGTAGACAAGAAAAATCTAACCGATTAAATAGTGCCGACTTCCCAACATTTGGGCGTCCTATAATAACAACAGTTGGAAGCTTGTCAATATCAATTTTAGTGAAATCAATTGATTTTCGGGGCATCGGCTTAGCTTTTCTGTCACCAGCACAACCAGCATCATTGGTGTCGATGTCAAACTCTTCCATTTCACTCTTAATGCCACCAGAAGAAAATGAAGCAGCAGGCTCGAACAAATCCTCCTGCATTTCTTGTTCTGAAGATGTACAGAAATTCCCTGCTTTTTGATAAAGACGGGTATGTAATGTAGAGATACACCTTCCATTTTTGGAACTGAACTGTGTTGCTCCAATGCGGATAATTGACAAGTTACTAAATACTGATCCTAATCAACACAAACACCATCAATAATTAAAGTCAAATATAAAACTGAACCAATTTATAATTAAAGACAGTGACATACAAGTCAACATACATATTACATATAGGTGCATATACACATGCATTTCATTAGTCCACCTGAGGCTGGAGCCAATAACTACACTCCTGAACAACAAATATATTTTCGAACAAGTGCCCCAGTTCGAGCTTTTTAGTGCCAAAATAACCAAACGCATAAATGCTCTGACACCTACGTGCATATAATTAAACAAACTAACATGCCCATCCATCAAATTCAGAGCGTTTTTTATGCGAAGTGCAAGAAAAAAACAACTATCCATGTATGTGCTCGCATTACCTGGTTTTAATTTAAATTCACGGTCTGCATTTGAATGGACTCTTTCTTCATTTGGAGAAAATCTGATAATTTGGTCGTTGAAACAAGTTTGTATAGTGGCAATTCTAGAGCACAGACCGAGGCCAGGTCGAGTTTTTCGGGCTGAAAGAACCCGAACCCATGAACGATGCATTCCAAGAATATCGATTTATGGTTAATTCATTGACATTAGTAACTAGGGTTTTCCCTCCAGTCCAAACTTTCCACCTGGATAATAACGCAAAACCACCAGGAAACCAGTGTTACTAAGAATTGTAGCGCTTATTGCACATTCGGGGAAAAAATTAAGCTTTGTAAAATGACCTGCGCTGGAAATTCAAATTGGGGTTGAGGTGAGGAAATAAGGGCAAAGGGCCATTTGAAATGTCCATTTTTTAACTTTGGCCTTTGACCAAATAATAGCATAAAAAAAATAAAAAATAAAAAAAGACATTGGGAACAAAAATTCGAAAATACCCCTAAAACCGAAGAAGGAAATTCACATTCGATCCTCCCTTGCAAACAGTCTCAAACAACCGCTTCTAACAGTCTTACCGACGACCCAACCGTTGACACCACTATTCAACCACACCGACGGCACCACCGTTAAAGATTAGCTATTGTATTCATGGAATGGATTGAATTTGTGAATGAATGGAGATTTATTTACATTGATAGGTATAGATGCGTGGTTAGGTTAGAATGTGAAAGAATTTTTGTGGTTTTTAGCCTAATTTGATAGCTCAAACACCAGAAACGGGATTTTTTCGCCATTTTCCAACGAATCGGGAAGGGAAAGGAACATAGCCGACTTTTAATAGTCGGTCGATTGTTAACAGTCTTGGGTCGACTATGTCTTGTTAGTCGGCCCAAGACTGTTTGGGCCCTTTTTTTCATTTTATTAATTTAAGTGGAAATTACATAATCTAATAGATTTAGAGATCCAAATTCATAAATCATAGGTGAAGTTTACTATTTCAAAAATAAGATATTTTATTAATTAATTAGTATATTTTAAATATTAATAATTATATTACAAAATTAAATATATATATTCATCCCTACCAAACCCTAAATTTATTTTCATTCATCCCTTTCATTTTCTTAATCCATATCTCACCTCCATTGACAAAATCGATCACCACCCCCGCCAAATTTAGATCATTTCTGTCTTTTTCGACGTTCAGATCAACTCTCCGCCTACTATTCTCACTAACACTGTGTCCATTGTGGTTGAGGACATACGGTGAAGGCGAGGATGGATTTGAGTAAGAATTTCCCAGAATCAAAGTCGATTCCAGCGTCACACACACACATATATAGGAGCCTCCAACTCTCGGATTCGCGCTGGAGTCCTCTCCGTTCAATTGTTTCGCCATCATCGTTCGACACTCCGTGGTTAGGCTTTGGGGGCTTTTTGCAGGAATCTCAGACTCGAGTTTCCAGCAAATTTTCTAAGGTAACAGCTGTAATCAGGGAGATTTAGTTGCTTCGCCATCATTGTTCGTCCCTGCTGGTGAGTGTCGTTTCTGCAGTGGTGGAGGTCGATTGTTGTAGCAGTTTTGGATCTAATTTTGTGGTGATTGTGGAGTGATTTTAGTGTGGGCTTTGTTGGTAGCGGTGATGAGGTTGCGATGCCGGTTTTGGCGGTGATCGTTGTGATGTTTGGCTGTGGTTGAGCTATGGTGGGTGGACGTAGTGGTTAGGGTGAGATGTGGCGGTGGTGGGTTTGGTGGCGACGATTTTGGTGGTGTTGCAGCTGATGACTGTGGTGAGGTGGTGGTTACAAGTGTTGATTTGATCACAGGTGATTTGGCTGATCGTGACCAATTAAAAAGATAAGTTGTGACCACGAAAATAATGCGTGACCTAAAAATTTGTTAATCTTTGATCAATAATTTGATAATTTATGATTGTATAATAAGTTGTGACTTATAATATTTGTGATTTGTGACTAATAAATAAATCGTGATTTATAAGTTTTTTTTATTTGTGACCGATGAATAAAACCGTGACCTATAAAATTTTTGAATTGTGACCACAAAATAATTTGTAACACAAAATTTCTAATTTGTGATCAAAAAATAATAAATTACTAAATCTTTAAATTGTGACCAAATTGTATAGATCTGTAACTTAAATATTTAATTAATAAAGAAATTAATTAATTAATTAAATCATAAATAAATATAAATAAAAATCTGATTTTTAAAGTTTGAAACTTATTTTCTTAATTTTGAAATGTGTGATACTTAAACTCTTACTTATGAAATTTTCCCTCAATTTAATATATTAATTATTTTTTTAAATTGAAAATTAACAAATAAATTATATTTTTTTACATAAATTCATTTACATAAATTTAATCTTATATTAAAAATAAAATAAAATTATTTTATATTCATATTTATATTAAAAATTCATTTATAAATTTGTTAATTTAATTCTCTTTTTTTTCTTATTTTAATTAAAAATTCATTTTTAAACAAATATTTAAATTTTCAATTGCAATTGAATAATATGTATATTATTTTATAATTTCCTTTTTTTTTTTAATTTTAATTTTAAATATATTATTTTTCTTTTTGGTAATAAGGTAAAAATAAATTTCTGAATTGTTTTATTCTTATTATAATTTACTTATTAAAATACATTAATATACTTTTTGCATTATTTTTATAGTTTTTATATTTTCTGAAATTATTTTGTTTAATTTAATATACATTTGTTAATTTGTATGTGTTTTTTTAGTTTTTTCTTTATTTTTTTTGTCTGTCATTTTTCTAAATCATTTGTTAGATATTAATTAGATGAATCTACATGTTAGCAATTTGGTTCGATTAATGTTCTGTTACTATGCTTTATTCCATTGTTTATTGTACAATGTTTTAACATTCGATTTTTTACAGGATGGATTATCATCTATATGCAGAGAGAGGCAGATGCCGAGAAAAGCTACGTGGAACAGTATCTTCGACAGTTTTACTACAGTACTGGAGCTGCTGGATGATCAGCACGCAGATATCTTAAGTCAGTCCTTCCTCTGGCCCTTGTATCAGTTGACGGAGGTGCAGTACTCGGGCAGATCATCGATGTGCTTTTATGTCAGTTGTTGAGTCCAGTAGACGACGATGTCCTCCACTTTGACCTGAGGACAAGATCGTCAGTTTCTCTATGTTCTTGATCACTGGACTGAAAATTACGGGAGATGAGCTAGCTCGTGACAGTGCTTAAAGAGGCAACAAGCTGCACGACACTTACTTCCATGGACAGGGGACAATACTTTTATTGTAGCTGATCGAAGCGATGAGGAGTGTGACTAGATGTTAGACTGACTAAAGCTAGGTCTAGTATACATCCTTGAGTCCGTGGTGCGGTGTCACCACAAGAAGACTGCGATCGACATTTTTCATCTAGAGATCATCGACGACGTCGATGGTTTCAACAATTATCCTTGGGGCTCGAGATGTTTCGAGGACATTAACACCTCTTCATCAGATCACACTCAAAGCCCAAGGGGCCCATGCACAATTACGATGCTTACGAATTACCCCTGTCAGTGTAGGTATATGTTTACATAATCAACGTCAAAATCTTTATACTATTGAATTTATATATAGTAATTATATGTATTGCAGATTTGGGCATATGAGACTATCCCCCTACTCGGTGCTCACTTTGTGAAGCGACTAGAGACACGATGCTCTAGGATGCATCATTGGCGAGCATCACGAGCGGACGGGTGTCCGTTTGGGAGACAGTTATCGGCTATTCTCAACTACCCTCATGTGAGTATTATGCACTTTGTAATTTATATCATACGTAGTTTAAAATCTCAATGTGCAAGTCATAACTGAGTTGACGCCATCGGTAGAGGAGGAGGGTCGAGTGCTGGTGCATGAGGTGCATGAATTTCATATAATTTATTGATTATATTTTTTTTGAGTGAGCAATTATTAATTAAGCTAATAATTTGTAATGTTATTTGTGTGGGAGCACCATATAGTTGATCGACGATCACCTCCGTCGATCGACGATCACCTCCGTCGAGGAGCATCACCTTTTCCCCCATCGAGACCCGTCCCTCTTGGATCTCCTGCACACAGTCAGGGTCATGGGATTGATGATCTGTATGCCCACCTGATCAAATTCATAGCAGATGTGGAACGATAGTTGATAGGGAGGGGTCGACGACTTATCCTATGATGTTAGACTGCTACGTGGCCATGTCGTATCCCTCCAGGATTAGGTCGCAGCGCTTCGAGGTGATTTACTGGTAGGCGATGGACTGGCAGAGAGGGTGGCGGAGAGGGGTTCACCCACAGTTTTGGACAGATGATGCATTAGAATCATTTCTGTTATCTGTGGAATGAGATTGGGCGGCCTCGATGGGGGTGGGAGAGGCGACGGTGGATGAGATGACGAAGGTGCTGGAGCGGATGGGGATGAGAGAGGTGATAGGGGAGGAGAGGGTGATGGAGGCGGTGGTGTAGATGGGGACGAGAGAGATGGTCGGGGAGGAGAAGGTGACGGTCCTTGAGGTAGAGGAGGGTAGTATTCAGGAGAGGAGGCCCACCATGACCGAGGGTAAGAAGCGTGTTTTTGACATATGGAGCAGGCGATCGGTAAGAGGTCGAGATTGCCGTCGCTGTACATCGTTTCTCCCTTCACGGTTGAGACGAAGAGGAGAAAGTTCGTCGACGAGACGATTTCCAACCTATTTCGGGAGGTGGACCATGTCAAATGAAAAGCAATCGAGACGGAGTGGAGAAGAATTTTGCCCAGGTAAGTATTTATGATATTTGTAAAGTACGCTACGTTACTCATACATGTTTTTTTAACATGTTTTTCTTTTTTCAGGGCCAACCGCATGATCAATCAAACGACGATCTCCGATACTTATAAATGGTTCCACAACATCATCACTTCAGGAACTTGGCTTGCCGACGATGTAAGTGAAGTAGTCATATTGTTATTTTTCATATGTATATAATTTTTTGTTTATGTATTGAAATAACTCCGTTTTGTATTGGTATTTCTTAATACAGCACATCAACTTGGCCATGGACTTGTTGCGTGATCGGGTTCAAAGATATCCGAGATCATTTGACAGTACTGGTCAAGCCATACTAAATTTGGAGTTCGGGCGAAATATTGACATTGAGTACCAGTCGCTCCAACTGGCTGGTAAGGAGTACACTCGAATGGACCATAGGGATGTGGCCGCGTGTCGGGGAGAAATCATGGGAGGGTTGTACACATATATACGTACCAGTGATCATGAATCATCACTGCATAGTTTTGGAAATTGTGTTCACTGAATTGACTATTTATGCGTACGACCCCGATCATTCATAACTGACACAGGGTCAACTCCAACAAAATCTAGAGTCCATCGCTGTTTTCGTCCCTACGATGGCTAGACGGGCAAACTTGACTGTGTAGGACAGATTAGCCATCATGCGGGACACGACGACAGCGAGGCAAACAATATCGTAAGTAGTTGTAAATTTTTTAAATTTAATGCTTAATTTTTTTGTTGTACGATACTGATTTAACTCATTATTGTTCAATTGTAGGGGCGATTGTGGCATGTTTGTAATAATGTATATTGTGTTTTTGAGTACAGGACATAAAGTTGATGGAATCAATCAATCTTGGATACAAATTTGGAGATATAAGTTAGCGTGCAATTTGTACGACTTTAGTTGTGATCCGTGAATACTGTAAATATTTTTTTTAATTACGAAATGTTTGTAAACACTGTGAATATTGATTTGTATCTTGTGAATGAATATAATTGTATATTATTTTCTATATTTAAATGTTTCATCTACGATATTAATAATTTATGAATATTATTTATTTAAGTAAATAATAATTGATTAAATAAATTAGAAACAATTAGTTTGATATATGGTGAATATTAAATACACAATTATTATTCATAACCAATTAAAAATAAATATTACATAAATAAATTGTATTACACATCTATTGCATCGTTATGCAGCGAAATTTGGCTTGTACAAAATTGTCGTGTATACCCTTTTTCGCCGCACCTACCGTACTTACGAGATTGAAAAAATTCTCCAGTAGACGATATTCTAGACGTACGTCTACGTCCAAAGGTACATGGTCCGACTTCTAATGACAACAAATTATTTAGTGACGGATCAAAGAGTTGGGCGGAAAGGAGGGAAAGGTTTCTGTTCCTGGTTCTCCTGTAGTGAAATCTCCGGAACCACAAGAATCCTTAGTTAGAATGGGATTCGTGGTCGGGAACTTCCCACTCAGCTTCATTTGGTATAGGGAATATTGTTTCTACATACGATGTTCTCCTATAATCAGCATATAATAAACACTGCACAAGGTGTGTGGTGGGAATCTTCTATGCATAGACATTGCCACTGCATGTACACATGAAAAGCTTTCCAACTGAAACTGTCTACACGTCCACGTGCTACCATTCAAGTTCACAATGTATCCAAAATTACGTGCACATCTCACGGAGAAGTGAAACTGATCTAGTGGTTCTACGCATACCTTTCTCGCCACATCTAGAGTCTTGAAGAGTTTATCTTCATGAGCCAGGGTGAGCACACTTGTGCAATTTTGTGATTCCTCACGCCAATGATGAAACCACCGTTGAAGCTTGTAACGAATGTTTTCAATCATTGCGAGAATTGGTAACTCTCGATCTTTCTTGAATAAGGCATTGAGCGACTCCGTATTGTTCGACGTTATCATGTTGTATCGACGTCCTGGAAATGTGATCTTGCCTAATGTTTGATCCCCATACCTGTTATATACTCCCATGCAACATGTGATTTACTGTCTCTTTCGACCATGAACTTCTCAAATTTTTCAAAACTGTAAACCTCTGCAGCTCTTCGGAACAATGTAACGATTCCCTTACCTTGATACATGATCTTCAAGTTTCCCTATATATGGTACATACAATAACCATGATGTGTCTCGGAGAAGATTTCGACGATACGATTTATTATTGACTGCCCTTAGTCGGTTACGAATGCAAGGTTCTCGATGTCCCAAATTACTTCCTTCAACTTCGTGAAGAACCAATGCATCTTTCGGTCATTCTCTCCATCGACTATGCCGAATGCAAGAGGGCAAATTTGGATGTTGGCATCTTGACATGTTGCAATAATCAACTTGTCCTCGTATCTAGCCTTAAGGTTGTACTATCAACTAGAATTAGATGTCACATTGCGTTTCGAAATCCTCGAACGCATTGTCCAAGGGTTATGAAGAAATACTTGAAGCGATTTTCATCATTCCTCCCAATAAAAAAAGTCGATCCAGTATTAGTTTTCCCCATGTTATAACAATATCTGACAAATTTAAATAAACAATAATTAGAATAAGTAATCAAGTATTAAATAAACAAAAAAAGCAATCGAAATATATAATTAACAATTAAAATAAATATTAAAAAATCAACTAAACAATAAAATACCTGGCCAATTTAGCAAACTCTCATCGGCCGAGCCCATTAAGCCCTCCAATGCCCATTCTTTGGTATTTCAAGCCTTCTAATAGCTCATGATCACCCCATACTCTCGACAGACATCATTAATGATGACCGAAGGTCTGTAGATCGTTCCTGAGTCCTGAAACTTGTGTATTATTTCTCGACGAATGAACCATGCTTAGGTTTGCTTGTGATCATTTCAATGAATACCCACTTCGCAAGTATGTTCCTATGCATACTTATGAATTATAAAGAACTCGTTTGTGTCTATCTTTGTCGCTTGCAAACGCCAGTGACAACTTTCGTTAATACAGACGATTGCGTATGTTGAGTTGTTCGATTTCTTAACTTTAAACTCGAAGTTGTGTTTCAAAGTAATCCGGTGCACAACTTCCTACAAATCTTTCTTTGTTTCGAACAGTTGCTTCATATATAAATCTTCATCATCGGGAACTAACCGCGAACAATTAGTGGACCGTGTACTCGGTCCAGCCTGTGAGCATTCACCCAACTCACGTCTCCGGAGGGATAGAGCATTCAAATCCTCATTTGTGAATACATTTTCGTTCTCATTGTCTTCAACTGTCGAGGGAATTCTGTGCGTAACAGTGAGATCATTCACTATATCGGGAACAACTATATTGGGAATAACCACATTGTCCTCATTAGCTATCTCCATTGTATCCCAAAAATCATTCACATTACGATCTCCTCCATCGAAATCTTCGTGCTCACCCTCGGGAACATTCTTCTCTACCAAAGTTACATAAATAGGAATCGAACATTTCTGATTTAATTCAATTAAAATCTACATTTCAACTTTAGAAGTAACCATTACAGGTGGACTTTACTTAACGAATAGAAATCCTGACGTTGAGCAAATTTTGCAACTCATTGTACATTTTCGCATACGATGTACTTGATATTATCAGAATTGCAGTAGAACTGCGTCTTTTACTCGTCCATTTCCATACCCATCAATCATTTTTCTTCATTTGAAATTCACCAAAGAAACAAACGGGGACTGCAGTCGATGCCATATCTGAGTTAGAAAACAACGATTTATTAAAAAAATGTAAATATATGAAAAAAGAAGTAAAAAATTGAAAACAACCGGCTGTTAGCCGCTGTTTTCTTAACATCCAGTGTCGATTTCGTTTTTTGATTTTTCAAAAGAACTCTTTTCATCGTTTTTGCTAAAAAAATTATAGATCAATTTAAGACTATAAAAATTTATCTGCCTATGTCGAAATAGGATTTAGAGATTCAAACAATATACTGATTTAGCTATAATAAAATTAAAAATACGTAAAATATAATTACCAATTTCGAGTGATGGTTGTGAATAATATTTTCTTGTTGAATTTTTGATAATTTTGTGAGATCTCAATGTTGAAACAGATGAAAATTGAACTTTCTTTTTATTTGTGTTGCAAAAACTGATAAAGAAACTGATTTGATTTTAAAATTTACGTGGGAGTGTTTGTAATTTATTTGTTATTTATCAAGAGGTACTATTGTCTTTTTAACAACCATATATTTTTGTAATTACAAAACATAAAAAGGGGAAAACTGTCATTTACATTTCAATGGGTCATTGTGGTGAATGTGAAAAATGAATGGGTCAATATGAGAAAGTGGTTATTTGACTTGGTTAATTTTAAAAGTACCACAATTGAGATTGAGGGTTTACGCCTTGGGGGTTTCACATGTCCACGAAAAATAGGTTAATTTCAGCAAGAGTCACTGAAGTTTGTTAAGGATTTCAAAATAACTATGGAAGTAACTTTTTTACAATAATAGTTATCCAAATTCTTAATAGTTACCCAGATTCTTAATAGTTACACCATCACTCAACTCAAATTCTACATGCCAAAATTCTTAATAGTTACACCATCACTCAACTCAAATTCTACATGCCAGAATTAAATTCGAACATGGACACGAACAACATTAGTGTATCATGAGATAAATGCTATGAACGTTCAACATTTCACCAACAAAATGTGAAGTTTCACTAACTGACTGCTTATTAACAGTAACGAATCCAAGATTGAAGTTCAATTAGGGCGAAACTTGACTGTTGACCGTTGACTGTCGACAATTAAAAATCGTAATAGCGTGGTCGTTTATTAATATTTAATTAAATAATATGAAAAATTATTCAATATATATGTAAATACACTAAAATGTAAAAATTATATCCATATGAAAATATAATTCAATACAAGCCAAAATACTAAAAAAATACGCGATACAAAATTGCTCTATAATTGTAAACTTAGACAATTGCATTCTATGGGGCCTCATACTTTGAAAACGTTACAATATTGCCTCATTCTCAATTTTTCCAAAAATCTCTTTCTCCATGTAAACCACCAAATTGTCATTGAACTAGTCATCTCCCATTTTGCTGCACAAGTTAGTCTTGATTAGATTCATAACAGATAATACACTTTCAACACTTGTCCTAATTTCCAACATCTTCTCAATTAATTTTTTTTACTTATCCTAATTTCCTAAACATAAATTTCCAAATCACAAATCAAAACTCATAATGATTCATTATAACTCGCAACTCATGCAACATAAATTACAGATTCACAATTCTCATTTCTCTGTCATTTGTCAATTAACTCATAAAACAGAAATCTTAGATTCATAACTCATGAATAATAAATAAAAAAAGTGAATTATGTGATTATGTGAAGTGTGAATACAGAACAAGAGAGAGAGAGAGAGAGGGGGGGGGGATAGAAGACTGAACTAAAGGCGAAAGGCGCTCACTATTCACAGGAGGTCCAATTGCCAACTCCGAGAGTTATCAACAACGAATCATCGTCATCGCCCTTCGATAAACAGCTATTTGAGTACTGCTTCCCTTTGCAAATCGCATGGCAGCAGGAGCTTAGTTGTCATATTTAACCCAGACATTGACTCGGACAATGCGATGGGTCAGCCAGTCATTGGTTCAACCAATGACTCGGTGGTTCAATAGGTGGGTCAATTATTATTAATTATTTTCATTTAATAATAAAATTTTGACATTTTCTACCACTAACTAAATTGACCTTACGTTACTTTGGTGAACAAAGATGATGTATGCCAAAATTCAACAAACATGATAGTTATTTCAATATAAGGCACCCACATTATGTATTAAATCCACAAAAAATAGAATCAGATTTTGACAAACAGAAGTTTGTATTTCACTTCTTTGGCTAAAAACTTAATCACTACATAAATGAAACAAATTGAGTGAG